GGGGATGATACTCGGCTGCATCACAGATTGGACACCGGCTACATTAGGACTCTGTATCTCCGACATTGGTGACTTATTGTCCGCGACATTTTGATCTTGTTYGAGGACATTTTGGATTACCATATCGGTGACCTACTGGTTTCTATCTCGGTGACATTTGGTGCKACCTACATCTCCCCCCTCCTTCGTCTCTCCTCCCACCTCTCATYTGTGTATGTGTGTACGAGGTCTGGGCATCGTCTATGCTTGGCCCAGACCCCACCATCTCACGATTGTATGTGTGTGGAGTGATATCTATGTGAGTCAGTCTATGTGAGTCAGTCCGTTTATCAGACTTCCGCTGCGTATATGCTCATCCGACATTGGTTGATCTTTGGTTCTGCCCATACTTATTGAAGTATGTAACAGTTTTTGTATCGGAGCAGACCAGTTAACGGATCTGCTCACCAGGTAAGTCTGAGTTAGGAATTAGATTGCTTCTGCAATCTTCCAAATCAGCGCTGTATTACTATCAAGTTCAAAGTTGCAAAAAAAAAAAATTCCCTTTTTTCGGTATTCTATTTATTTCGGCATTTCCGTTTCGATTCGGTATTCAGACTTATAATTTGGATTTCTGTTCTATTCCGGTATGCTGTTTATTTAGGTTCCGATTAAGTGATACTAATCTGATAATCTGTTAGGTTCGGATTTCTGATGAATGTTAAACGTTATTAGGGTTAAATCAGTATCCGTTGAAATTCGGCATTCTGATTTTCCATTCAGCATTTCGTTTTGATTTCGGCATTCTGTTGTAGACCCTACATTTCGTTTTTCTTGTGGTATTTCCGTTTTCCTTCAGTATTGGAAAGTAGGGTTACAAAATTTTGGTTATTCGATCAACTTGGGAATTCCGAACGTTTTGGAACCGTAATACCGGAAATTCCGCGGAAACGCGGAAAATTAGGGTTGGTCCCGAAATTTTCGCGAAATTGTTTTTCTTTTCCCTTGTTGAAGAAATTCCGAAAACGGATTTAGGCCTTAAACATCGGATTTTGACGGTGGAAATTCCCAAAAATTCGCGTTTTTTTGAAAATTCGAGTGTTTTTCTCCGGATTTTTCCGAAATTTTGTTTGGCAAATCAATCCGAATCTGACCCTCACATTGCAACTTCCGGGTAGTTCACTAATTAACGGTGAACTCCCGGACTATAATTGATCTCAAAAGAGACCTAATCTTAATACAATTCAAATTCGTTCATTATCATTATTACAAATATTGTTTATTGATTTTCATCAAGAAATCGTTAGTGCAAACATTGTTTATTGATTATCATGAAGGGATTTTATTGCGTATTAATCATTAATTAATTTTATTGATTAAATAATTCGTTATTATTTCTTCTTATTACGAATTTTTGGAATTGTTTATGGGAAATTATTTTTCTGTTTTGATTAGGTGTCTAGAGTCCATCAGTGGGACAGGGGACTGTATGCGTATTGTACTATTGTTGGATTGTTCTACCCCTGTTCCCACTCTTCCTACCTCCCCGTACTCTGTGACCACCGGGACCTCTCAAGTACCGCATCAGTTCACACTGATGTCGATGGAACAGGACACCGCGGCACTGCCACGACGCAGTGCTAGGCTTGCAGTTCGTGCCCGACCTGTGGTACCTCCAAGACCCAAGCAACGACTCAGCAAGCGGAAGACTCCAGCAGCATCAAGTACAGCAATGACAGTACCGGTTAGCACCGGGGTTCTTCCCGCATGCCCGGTCCAAGGGGCCGGTGAGCCGTTGGCGGCTTACCTTCAGCGGGTACAGGCATTCACAGATGCCGTAGCTACTGCAAAGGCACAGGAGGAGGCAGCAGAGGCGGAACGTCAGCGGGCTGGCCAATGAGGCGGCAGCCCAAGCTCAGCACACTGCTGAGGCTGACGCAGCAGCACGAGACCAACAGAATGCCAGCAGCACGGAGTCCCTGATTCATAGTGAGAATCAGTGGACAATGTTCCTCCAAGGCATGATCTTTGTGCCTTCGGACGCGCAGGCAGATCCGACACCGGCGGAGGCAGAGAAGACTCACCTGGCTAACTTGATGCTGGGCATGATGAGAGGAATTATGTGGAATAACACACTGCTGCAAGCACATCTGCGCACGGAACAACAGCAAAGACAGAAGTACCAGCAAGACATTGCTGTTTTAACAGCTGCCATCCGCGCCGAAGCTTCACAGCAGTAGCAACAGCATCAGCTGTTGAACTCCGCTCTCGCACGCATCAACAACATTGAGGCTAGTGCCTCAGCAGCGCCAGGCTGCACGACGGACGCGACGAAACAGCTCAACGAGCGCATCGATCACGTCGTCAATATCATCGGCGATATAGGCGATTTCACTAGCCCGGCCACAATCAGCAGCACGGTGGCCGCCATCAAGATGGACATCACCAAGCTGCAGACGAGACCGGACGCCGCTACGAAGACTTACAAGATGCCGCACTTCGACATCAGCAAGTTCGACGACTTCAACAAGTCGGACGCCTTGACATGGTGGCAACGTTTCCTCACGGAAGCATCATGCCGCACTGTCCCGACGGACGACATGATGAAGGCGCTCTACTTACAACTGATCGGCGGAGCGCAGGCATGGATGAATCATCTCGCGGCTACCAAGAAATGCACCATCGCTGAACTCCACACGCACATTCCGTGGACGGAGTTCGAGAAGCTATGGCTCACCTGGTTCATGGTTCACAACGTCGTGAAGGCAGCTATGAACGAGGTGTACACCTTCTCTCAAGGTAGTATGCCAACTCGAGACTGGACAACTAAGTGGATCATGCACTCCGATTTGAGTTTTACCATGCCAGGCTTCGATTTGAGTTTTACCACGCCAGGCTTCGATTTGAGTTTTACCAATCAGCGATCCGAGTTCTTCTCGCGATCATGCGCAGGACATCGGTCGGCACTCGGCAACGAGTACGATTATGATTCGTTCCAGGCCATTCTGGATCGGGCGAACTTAGTCATCCAAACGGATGACAAGGTCGCAAACGAACAACAGTCCCAGCCGCATTATGTGGCTAAGCAGGGCTATCAACGACCGACACACAACAATGCCATAATTTATAAAGAAACAGACGATCTCCACGCTGCAGCAGCATCCTCGAGTGATGGAGGAATTGTAGCAGCGCTCCCGCCGAAGCGTCCCAAGAGAGTTCGGAAGAACAAGGTGACACAAGAGACGACATCGACGGGAACTGGGCCGCAGCCATGGACGGCTTACAAGATAACCAAGGATGTCTATGACCTTCGTCAAAAGTGCGGATACTGCCTTTGGTGCAACGGCGTCATGCATTTGACCGCACAATGCCCCGAAAAGGGCAAGACACGCGTATCCCGTCCAGCAAACTCGGGAAACCGAGTTACGCAAGGAGAGGGGCGACGTCTCTCCTCACTCCGCCGGAACCGGTTGCCTTGCTAGCAATCGATGTCACTACCGGGGAGCATGCGTTAGTCGCTGATTCTCGTGCTACGTACGAGGATTATGCCGCCCAGCTGGTACCACCACTAGGCCAGTCGAGCCACGTGCACTTAGATTGCGTATGCGCAGCCTGTACACCGTCGGCAAGTAATCCGGTCAGTTCGCCACTGATTTTCGAGGACTCGACGGCGTGGTCAAGACTTGAAAAGCTTGACCCGCTCACGAGAGAGGACTTCGCTTGGATGCCTCTACCCTCGACCGAAACCTTGCCAAGGCCGCATTGCAACGCCTTGATGGCAAATCTACGCTCCTATTTGCACACTATAGTACCAGCTCCGTTGACGGACGACGGGGTAGCGGTTGTCGATCTCCACTCCTATCTTGCGAAGATTGACCGCGAGTATGCCACCCAAAGGTACGCCGAAACCGACGCTCCTTTGCTCTATATCCGCATTCAAATCGGAAAGGCAACCTGTAGTGCCTTGATTGACTGCGGAGTGTCTCGCAACTTTATGAGCCAAGCCTTTATGGCCCGCGCAGGTCTTGGCCCGCACGTTCGAAGGAAGACGCAACCTACGCAAGTCACACTCGCGGACGGCCGCACGCAAAAGTCAATTGACCGATGCGTCGACGACGTTCCGGTATACTTTGCGCCACTTGCGTGCGAGCCGGTGTCTTTTGACATCCTCGACACCAAGTTCAACATGATTCTAGGCATGTCTTGGTTGCGTAGCGTCGATCATCCGGTGAACTTTCATGACCGAACCGTTCACACCCGTGATCGGAACGGAGTGTTAGTCCCATGTACGGTCGCGACCCCTCACACTTTGATTGCTTGTCACGTGGTTTCCGTTGCGAGAATTCGCGACGCCATAGCTCGGAATGACGTCGAGGAGATGGGCCTTGTATTCTTGCATGCTCTCCCGTCGCTGGACGGACCAGCCACGTCACCACCGGACCCACGCATTTCTCACCTCTTGGACGAGTATAGAGACGTCTTCGAGGCTCCCACCGGAACGGTTCCGGATCGGCCCATACGTCACGGGATCACTCTCGAGGCTGGCGCCGTCCCTCCTAGTGGATGTATCTACCGCATGAGCGAAGAGGAACTCGAAGTGCTTCGCGCACAACTCGATGATCTTCTCGACAAGGGCTGGATTCGCACTAGTTGCTCGCCATACGGTGCACCTACTCTCTTCGTCCGGAAGAAGAACAAAGATCTACGGTTATGCATCGACTATCGCAAACTTAACGCACAAACCGTAAAGAACGCCGGCCCTCTCCCTCGGATTGATGATCTCCTTGAGCGGTTAGGCGGCGCGACGTACTTCTCGAAGTTGGACTTGAAGTCAGGTTACCACCAGATTGAAATCCAGCCTCAAGATCGGTACAAGACCGCGTTCAAGACGTGGTACGGGCATTTTGAGCCCCCAACTTTTCAAGCAGCTATGACGACTGAGTTCCGCGACTTGCTCGATCGCAGCGTCCTCATCTACCTCGATGACATCTTGGTCTATAGCAGGACGTTGGACGAGCACATCACACACCTTCGTGCTGTTTTGAATCGTTTGCGACTGGCCAAGTACAAAGCGAACCGCGACAAGTGCGMGTTCGCCAAGCAAGAGCTTGAGTATTTGGGCCACTATGTTACACCGAAAGGCATTCGTCCCTTAGCGGACAAGATCCAAGCCATCGTGGATTGGCCGGAACCCCGTTGTACGACAGATGTATGCTCGTTCATGGGTTTGGCTGGATACTATCAGCGATTCGTCGAGTCATACTCGAAAGTGGTCGCTCCTTTGTCGCGACTTCAGTCCCTGAAGGTGCCTTTCGAGTTCGACGACGCAGCCCGTGGCGCGTTCACTACGTTGAAGGCAGCAATGCAAGCCGCACCTGCCCTCCGTATATATGACCCCACCCTACCCACCCAAGTGACTACGGACGCTTCGGGATACAGTATTGGTGCGGTGTTGGAACAGTGTCACGAGGACGGTTGGCATCCGGTCGAGTATTTCTCCCAAAAGGTGCCTCTCGTCAACACTCTTGACGACGCTAGGAAGAAAGAGTTACTCGCGTTCGTCACCGTTCTCAAATGGTGGCGCCACTTTCTTCTCAGCCGTCGGCGTTTTAAATGGAATACGGACAACAATCCGTTGACCTTTTACAAAACGCAACCCGCCAATCGAGTTGCGGACGCCCTCTCACGATGGTCCGACTTTTGTGCCATTGTGACCACGGCATTCGACCTCGATGACGATCTGCAGCCGCATTTCGTCAAAGGCTACAAGTCCGATCCGACTTACTCTACGCTATATGCAGAGCTCTCATCGGATCACCCGAGCCACTATTGGATTTCCGACGGGTTCCTTCTCCTTCACATGAGAGGAAAGGACTTGTTAGTTGTGCCCCAAGATCGCATCTTACGGACTTGTCTTCTCGGCGAATTCCACGACGCATGACTTTCGGCACACCTTGGCGTGAACCGCACATTAGCACGCCTCCGCCAGCGTTTTCACTGGCCCGACATCCTTCATGACGTCACGAGGTACGTTGAGTCATGTGCAGTTTGCCACCGTAATAAGGGTCGATCTCGAGTCCCCTTCGGCAAACTGAAACCGTTGCCGATTCCTCGGGCACCGCGCCTCTCCATTGCTATGGACGTGACAGGCCCGTTCCCCTGCGATCGCCACGGCCATGACGGTATTCTCACGGTCGTTGACCGTTTGAGCAAGTACGCTCGCTTTCTTCCTTGCAAGTATCATGCTGCAGCGCCGGAGCTCGCACGACTCTTGCACACCGGTTGGATTACCAACCAGGGTGTTCCGGAAGACAGTGTGAGCGACCGAGATACTCGCTTCACGTCAACCTTTTGGACTTCCCTCATGGCCGAGTCCGACACGACAATGAAGCCGAGCTCGGCTCGGCACACGCAGACGGATGGCCAGACGGAGCGAGCGCACCAGACCGCTCAGATGATGTTGCGTACGCTCATCTGTCCCGACCAAAAAGATTGGGTTGATCGGCTTCCCGACATCGAGTTCGCCTATAACACTTCGGTGCACCCGGCGATCTGCGTCGCACCATTCGAGCTACATCATGGTGGAGAGAAAACACGGATCTTCGCTGATCTCCTTTTGCCACAGGCTGCCAACATAGACGTCCCTTGCTCTCCCGCTTCCGTTCGGAAGTACCGGGACTTGCTGATCAAAGCCCGCGCGAATATGCAAAAGGCTCAAATGCGCATGCAACAGCAAGCTAACCGACGTCGACTTTCGTGTCCTTTCCACGAGGGAGACCTTGTTTGGGTCCTCTCCGAGGAATTTGCGCTCGAGCAGGACGTTTCGCGCAAACTCCTTCCGAAATGGTTCGGACCATGGGAAGTCACTTCTGCCGTTGGAAACGMCCCCGCCGGTCCTTCCTTCGTGATCAGCATTCCACCGCACCTTACAGTGCATAGGGTCTTCCACGCATCGAAGCTGGCCATCTACACGCCACCTTCAGTTGACGAGTTTCCCGGACGTCGATCACAGGATCCGCCTTCCATGGACGGACATCAGGAAGTGGACCGAGTCATCACGCACCGCAAGTATGGCAACAAGCCAATGCAGTACAAAGTCACATTCAAGCAATGTGCGCCTGACGACACGGTGGATCTCTAGTGCAGACTTGCAGACTTCTGCACCCCTTATCTTCGCCAACTATGAGAAGACACGATTTGCCAAGGCAGCAGCTCATCCCACCCGACCCATCCCGGTATCGGACAGACAACTCCGCCCTCGCAAGTAGCTCGGTCTTTTAAGAGGGGGAGTGTGTTACATCTTCGACGCCACACGGGTCCTACCGGACCCGACTTAGGGCTAGAGGGACACATCAGGGCCTAAAGGCCCGACCTTGGGGAGTAACAGGCCGAAAGGCCACGACTTGGACCAGATTACGGACCAGGCCCAAACGACATTTCGTTTTGGGCCTGGCGGCGCCGTTTGAGGCTGCCGCTCTCCGGTTGGACCTGAATCGTCGATCTGGACGGTTCAGCCCCAACCAAGGCCTCGCAGCATTGAGGCCGGTCCTCTTCGAACCAGTACTTAGTACTGGTCCCGCCTCACTTCGAGGCCATCGACCCACAGGCACGCTAGGGTGCGGTATGGTACGGCGTGAATCAGCGCTGGTGCTAAGTTTAGCGCAGGAGCAGCGAGGAGCAGCGCAGCGCAGCGCAGGATTAGCGCAGCAGCAGCGAGCGGAGCAGCAGCAGCGGGGACTGGGCGTTATCGGCGGCCACAGCCGCCTGAGGTATCGGGAGTCGGAGGCTTCTCTCCTCCCTCCCATCGCCAGTCCCCTCTCTCTCTCTCTCCTCCTCGGCTCCCTTCGTCTTCTTCTTCTTCTTCTTCTTCTTCTTCTTCTTCTTCTTCTTCTTCAGACTTCTTCTTCTTCTTCTTCTTCTTCTTCTTCTTCTTCTTCTTCTTCTTCTTCTTCTTCTTCTTCTTCTTCTTCTTCTTCTTCTTCTTCTTCTTCTTCTTCTTCTTCTTCTTCTTCTTCTTCTTCAGATTGGAGACTTATACTAGTTGGACAGAGATCAGAGTTGGACTTCGGTTGTAAGAGGCTGTGGTACTTACCGGATTCGAGACTTGGGGATTGTTGGGGATGATACTCGGCTGCATCACAGATTGGACACCAGCTACATTAGGACTCTGTATCTCCGACATTGGTGACTTATTGTCTGCGACATTTTGATCTTGTTCGAGGACATTTTGTGTTACCATATCGGTGACCTACTGGTTTCTATCTCGGTGACATTTGGTGCTACCTACATCTCCCCCCTCCTTCGTCTCTCCTCCCACCTCTCATCTGTGTATGTGTGTACGAGGTCTGGGCATCGTCTATGCTTGGTCCAGACCCCACCATCTCACGATTGTATGTGTGTGGAGTGATATCTTTGTGAGTCAGTCCGTTTATCAGACTTCCGCTGCATATATGCTCATCCTACATTGGTTGATCTTTGGTTCTGCCCATACTCATTGAAGTATGTAACAGTCCATCCGCATCGAATCTCTGTTTTCCACGATTCTGATGAGTCCTGTCCATGCTTCCTGTCTTGCCACAAATTCCTTATTGATTGTCTGTCTGCTTGCTGTGTCTCTTCCAGATTAGTGTAACCCTTTTGAGAAGGAGGAACCAGTTCCCCCTTCCGCCTTTCAGATATTTGGGGAGGTTAATAGACAGAAAAATGGAGATGGGGGATGTAATGGGGGAGGTAGAGGCAAAGAGGGTGGACCGCAGTCTTTCAAGTTTTAACTCCTTCGCCGAACCAGTTTGCTTCAGCGCAGGTTAGCAGGCACTGCCAGGCAGTGAATTATGTCTTCCCGTGCGCTGTCTGTGCACGTTGTGCAGATATATGTGGTATCAGGGTCTGAATTTTTTGTGGAGCCATTGATTGGCCGGTAAGGAAGCATAGGCTGTCAACCACTGCATGCTCCAAATCTCTGTGGGGTTTATCATGTGGTAGTTTTCCCATGGGATCTCAACCTTGAACTTGATGGAACCGAGAAGAGCACATAAATTCACCAACTGCGAAACCAAACAAGCACATTGATACACACAACATTTGAAGGCAAGAGGCTTATCCTGGTCTTGTGCTACCGGTAACGTTTCTCTTGAAGTGGGGTGATCGTAAAGGTTCTTCTAGTGCACAACTCCGCCAACTCATTCGCTGCTTAGGCCTTCTTGGTGGTGGAGGTCAAACCCTCAAGGTCACACAGGATCAATCGCTTGTTCTGCAGCGTCTTGTTGCATAGCCGCGCAGAAGTCCACCGCCTGGAGACAAAAGATGTGATGGCATCCCTTAATTGTGTTTGTGAGATGTAATGATCGCTGTCGGCCACCTTGTCTAGTTTACTGGCCAAGTTCACCACAACAGATATTTCCTTCACCGCGTTCATAGCTATACTTACAGAAGTTCGGTTTCCTACTCTGCTAGTCGCTTCCCTTCACTGAAATTCTTGTAGGCCGAAAATTTACCTTCCAAGTAGTCTGTTGAGATGGAAGGCTTCGTGGCATGATGGTGAGCCATTCCTCCACATCCGTGCGCAGGCCCCTCAAGTGGGCTAGATTCACAAGCCACCACCAATGAATGTTTTCCTGCTGCACTTGTGGGAGAGTCACTCCTGCCGTTTGAGAGTCTTTAGCAGCTGTGCCGCTTGCTTCCTCAGATCTTCATTGGCCTTCTTGATCTTCTACAGCTGTGGGACATATTCTGATTGGCCGCTGCTTTCTGACCTTCACAGTTCAGTTCCTAGTTCTCCCATTGGAGCCCCCCAAGCACCTCCTGCTCTCCTGACAAGCACCTTGCTTTACTGGGATGACTTTCCCAACCATGCATCACATGCATTTGGCAAAGGCATGATTGTCCTGAACGTTAGACACTGAGGTAGGACTGACGGAATGGGTTGAGGCCAGGGAGAATCTGACGAGAGGAGGTGGGTGGGGTTTCGTAAAGGGGAAGACCCAATTCAAAAAAAAAAAAAAAAAAAAAAAAAAAAAAAAAAAAAG